TGCAGCAGCCTCTTATCTGGGCACTGGGACCTCTAAACGTGCCGGGCACACACTGGGCGCCAGGCAAAACACTCACGGTCACCTTGCCACTAACGAATCAGACTTGCCAAATCCGTTGGTGATTGAGAGGCAAATTGCTGGCTGAACAGGAGCCCCAAGCATCCATGAAGCCCTAGAGCTTTTCTGACGCGTTGATCGGAGCAGCGTTGCGCGTGAGGAGATGTTTGGAATCATCGACTGGGCAGCGGAAGAGCGCGCGGCGATCCCGGAAGCAACGGCACCCCGGATGAGATTACGTATGCACAACGGGCTTAACCGTTTTGAGTCACATGCAGAGGACGTCCATGCGGGCTTGTTTTTCAGGGAGCTCTCAAAATGGTGGGCTTCCCCTTGGTGCCCCAAAAAAGGTCCATTCCTGCCGGATAGGTGGAGCTGACGCCGCTGGAGAGGGGGAAGACTGTGGTGCTGCAACATTCCGCTGAGGTTCGGGAAGTTGAACATGTGGAGGTTTGGGGGGCCAGGAGGATTTGCACGGGGCTTGTAACATAAGTGTCATTGTTTTTCCCTGGGGTCTTGATTGTGATTTTACCTTTTCTTAAGCTTCACTTCGTATGGACCTTATTCTTTTGACATGTTTGGTTGGGGGCAAAAGCCGAGGTAGTTTTGGGGATCTTTTCAAAGGCTACGCGCAATGACTAATCTCTTCCCCCTATTAATGAATGACCCCCATGAATAATAAATGCAAATCCGGGGCCCGAGACCAGATTTCCACTCCGCACAATTGATTTTCCATTGCGCCAATACTAAACCAATACTAAAGTCTTGGAATCCTTATTAGGGGGCACTTTTAGCAAGCTTCCAGCCTCACTTTTCAAAAGGTGGGTTCCTCAATTCCCCAAAAGGTTGCTTCCCCAAAAACAAATAGAATGATACATCAAATGTCCTTATTAAACCGCTTACTCGCGGAGCTTACAATTCAATCCATTTCCTCCAAATCCTATGTGAAACCTCACATTGTTGGAAAAGCAAAAAAACCAACCCCAAAAACCCCAATTTAAAAAATACAAATTAAAAAAAATGGGGGATTTATTTATAATAGAGGGGGGGGCGTATTTATTAATAGGGGGAAGAGATTATTTGATGTGATGTGTAGCAAGGCCCAACCCTATTGCCCGTCGCACTTTTGTGCTTGCAGCCGCTTCTCTATTTTGCTTGCAGCAAAATGTTTGGGCATTCACCTGCATACATGTGTGCGCAAATGAGTGTATGTATATACATGATTGTGCACCCCGTCAACTTATAGCTGTTCTTTTTTCCTACTTTGCCTTTACCAGCATAGGACTGTTGGCTGGAATACCCTGAGGTAGTGTCTACCTCAGAATTGCCACTTCTACATTTAGTGTTGTGGCCGCTTCGCAGGGGAAAGTTCATGTTGACTCTGGAAGCAAGTGACAATTGGTGGCGAAGTACTCCTGGGATGCTGAAAAAACCATGTTTCACCAGGCTGACCCCAACCCCACCTGCGACCTCCCATGTGACATCGTGATTCAAAACACCGAGTTGGCTAAGATTCGCAGCAACCGGACCTGGGCCACCTATACTTCACTTGGGCATTCAACCAACACATGTGCCTGGGGGCTCGTGGTTTGAGAGTAGCCTGGCCATGTAACTGCAAAAACTGTATGAGAATCAAGAAGTTGATTCTGCAAAATCAAGATGCCTCTTTTGAAGGCTTGCTCAACATTGGCCAAGGGAAACTCACCTCAAAGGGCCCGTCATACAGGGTGATCTTTCTTGCACAGTTGGGCCGTTCAATATTCACAAAAACCCACACACAGACACACACACTCCCTCTCTCCGCAGATCCATCTCCCAGATCCATCTCTCCCAGATTCCATCTCCCTTTGATAAGATGCCCCCAGATCCATCTCACCCCCTCACCCCCTATCTCCCGCCCCCCTCAAAGCATCCCTCCAGGACGCCTTCGAAGCCTCCCTGGCCGAGGGCTGCGTCTCTCTGCGCGCCTCCTGCGCAGGCTTTCAGCCCGAGGAGCGCGAGCATCGCGCGGGTGGTTGAACTGGTGCCATTTTTCGGTTGGAGACCCGTGGCCCAACCAAAAATGATGTCCATTGGATGAGTTGAAGAAACATGGATTTGCTTAAAGGTCTTTGTATGTGTTTGTTGTTTCTTGTTTAAGAGAATGTTTTTTCCCCCGTTTCTGGGCTTTTCATACGTCCTTGGCATATGGAAGATCTTTCATTTGCAGTGCAGAGTATTAATTATTCTCCCTTGTTGCTTTTTTTTTGCGGGGATCGATTTCACTACTGGAAATATGCTTTGCTTTTCTTGTTTTCTCCAGGGGGCGACAAGCAAATAGAAGAAAGGTGGCATGGAAATTGGAATGAGGGTCCCTGAAAGAAATGCTCCGAAGGGCCCTTTCAGGTTTTCCATTGAAGTGGGTTGCATCCAGGGTTGTGGGATCAAGGGGTTTATCTTTACTTCTGTGATACAAGGGAATCCCCTCTTTGTATGGCTGGTTCGTCTTAGAGGCCCTTTTTTTTGTATCACAGAAGTGGATTCCATTTCCCACAGCCCTGGAGTTGCATCCCTCGGTACGATCCTTTAAAGTTCATCTCCTTTCAAAGCTTGGTGGCTCCCAGCCATGCCCTTAGCATCCCTTAGCTTTTTAGCCTGGTGTTTAGTGGTGGTGTCCATTTCACCCACTAGAAGTTAGTCACTTTCAGCAGGGGATCTGAGGGCAGCCCAGAAAAGGGGCCCTTCACTCACCGCCATCTGGGAATCGCCCGATCCATCTCCCTTCGCGGCCTGGGCTACGTTGGGATGGGCGACATCCATGTCGCACCACCGTTCGGACATTTCGGCATGAGGATCCCTCTTTAAATGCCCCAACAAACACTGGTTTTGTCATGGTTTCAAAGTGGTGCAGGATTTTGTCCATCCACAGCATGAATGGTTTCCCCACGGGTCATTTTTCCACAACCACCGACGCTTTCCGCCATGCATCGTTCCTTGTAGGCAGCACCCAAGTCGGGGGATATGTGGCAAAGGACATTCCATCTCCGACGGCATGCCTCTCTGGGCGCTAGATCGGTCTCTGCTGATTTGCGGCAAGCTTCGTGCGTTTCGTATGTGGCAAAGACGCATATCCGCGAACTGTGGCATCATAGGCGTGAAGGCGCATTGCATTTTGGCGCGCGAAGCGAGGAGCGCACTCTCATGCTGCTGGTGGGCCAAAATCACGTGTACTTTCCGCTGGTGCCGTGCTCGGCATGAGGCTGGGTCGGCAGCCCTTCGCTCGTTGCCCAACCAACTTTTGGATGTTTTGGACTCTTAGCTTTTGTGGGGCCAGGTTGGCTGGGAAGCAAGCAGGCTGCACTCTGCTTCGTTGGATCTACTTAGTGAGTGCTTCTGGTAGTGTCACAGCTGGTGATGCTGCTGCTGTTGCAAGGCTGGTGCAGGCCTTGCGAGTACAGAGCGTTGATTGAAATCGGAACAATGGGAACCCCGAATTTATAATCCCCAGTTTATGAATAGGGGGTTGTCCCTGGTTTTAGTAGGGATTCATCACTATTGCAGGGGAACACCCCCTATGAAAGATCTGGGTTTGTTATTGGCGGGGTCAACATCACTGCCCAACCATCGCGTTGAGTGATTGAAAGGACACCGTGTAGTACAGAATTATGCCCTAGACTCGCGCAAAGAAACTCAGCTTCATCGGTCAGTGCATGTCTTCGCGTCTCTCGCCCTGGCGCGGGTTCCAGGTCCTAGCTGCTGAAACCGAGCAGCCAGGAGCAGAGAGCTCAACAGCAAGCTTGAAGTGCCCGCTGGGAAAACAACACATACAACATGAATTGTGTCACACGGGTTGTTGCATCATTTGATGAGAAGCCGTGGGGCAGAAGCAGGCGGAACATGTCCAGTTTGCTGAAAGGCACGTGCCAGATGCTTGCAGGGACCACCCCACACCCCGTTTGACCCACAAAGCGTAGGGCACTCGTGTGTCATGATTTGCTTGCGATGGCAAGACGCCACAAACGCAAGGAGTGAATCGCCGAGAAGCCGCCTCTGAATCGATGGCATATCAAGAGCTGCAGGGCTGCAACTCAAAGGCTCACGGGGCTAAGTGGACATGTATCAAACAAAGTGGCAGCCCAGCTGGACGGGCTATATCTGAAAGAACCCCAAGGGGTCTAAATAGGAAAAGGGACCGTTCTGGCTGACTGCAGCCCGTCACCCGGCGGCCAAAGGCCACGCGGTAGGGAGTTCCTCTTTTGCGCTCTGAAGAGGGAGCGTGCCTGAGGTTGGTCAAGGCATGTCAGTTGAGTGCAGTTCAAGCTGAGACTCTCTTGCCCAGAGATCATTGTAAGTGTCATACAGGCTTTCCTATTTCTACTAAGGTTTCTATTAGTCTCGATTTGAGGGGCGAGACATCACCTCAACCCAGATATTGCCATCAGCATGTGCTCCAGTTTGCCACAGATTTGCTCAGCCTCACCGCGATTCAGCGATGCGGCCGCTGCTGGCTGGCAAGAAAAGGGCGAGCACTGTTGGCCGTGACTGGCACTCCGGGTGCATTTTTGTTCGATGTCCCGAAAGGGGTACTGTAATTCGTCAGCTTGTCCAGCCGCAAAATACGCTCCCAAAAGTTTGCCCACATTTCAAATTTGGCTGTTTTAACTTTTGGTGCGACGGTGCACTGTCTAGCGATAGGGATGTTTCCCCCTCAGAGTGGTGCATTCTGTGCAAGGTGTCAGCCATGCAGCTTGACTGATGTGAGGGGTTCGTTTAGTTCAGGGTTCGACGGTCAGATGACGCGCTCCCACCTCGCTTGGCAGCTTGGAACGTGAGTTTTCAGGACCCCAAAAGCACTGCCCTTCCTCCCTCCCCCCCAACAACCCTAAGGCAAGAAAAAACCACGAGAGAGAGAGAGAGAGATTCCAAGAACAAGCTTGACTGTCTCAGGGGGGCTGTCATTTGAGGTGTCCATGCCACAAGGTTGCCAGCTTGTGACTCAGCGTCGCAGTCGCAAACTTTGGGAGAGAAGCGTCCACACCCGGCCAGGGTTTAAATATGTGTAAATGATCCCTGATCCCCTAAGCTCACTTCCTGAGTTCATGAACTTTAAACTTTTTGGGAAGACCATTTTAGTGGGAAATATAAAGTTTGGGGCCTTTTTTCGGGCCATCCACTCAGCCAGCGAGTAAGTGAAACCAGAAGGTTGTTTGAACAAGCTACAAATTTGGCAGTGGCTCTTGGGCTTGCTCGGGCCTGAGCTTCGGCCAGGCCTCGGGCCTTTCTCAGCTTGGGTTCCTATGGGGCGTGGCAGAGTGCAAAGCAACCCAGACACCGGACGGAGAACTTTTTCCCATGCATAGTCTGTGGCTCAAACTTGAACAGGAGGGGCAAACCGCAGGTGTTGGTCCATGTTTCCACTTACCAGGGCAACCCATTTTGGTATCGGTTTTTTGAGCCACAGCCATCTATGATTTTTTGTACGGTCAGTGATTGAATTACCTCTTGACCTGTATCGGTCTTCATTTCTTCATCCAATTCCATCGCTGGTTTCCGAAACCGAGAGCTGTAAGGCAACCCGACAAGAAGAAGAAGGACTGCTCGGGCTTGCCGGCCGGGGAGCTGAAGCCGGCCTCTGGAATGACGCGAAGGGGCGCGGTTTCCAGGGCGGGGTTTCCAGGGCAAATGTTGAGCGCTCACTTATCAGCTCAGGTTGCCACATGCCCCAACCTTGAGTAATATCGCGGCCTGGCGCCGGCTGCATCCTGTTTTCTTTTGGCCCGATGAGCTTCAGCACGGCTCCAAGTTTGGTGATAAGAACCTCGGAACTACGAGATCGTTCGCGGGATCGCAGGGCCCGTGTTTCCTTGCCAACCCATCATCGGGAGGACAAGAAAGGCAAGAAGGATAAGAAGAAGAAAGAGAAGTGGCCTGACCGCATTTGCTGTGCAGGGTTCCGCACTGGTGTGGCGCATGCAGAGCATTTTCTGGTTCCTTTGTGGGACGCCCCTTAAAGAAGCTGAATGAACAGCAGGATGCTGGCCTTTCGTGCGCTGCGAATCCTTGCTGCTTTCGCAAGATGACTTCCCAGAGCTTGTGTCATTGGGTGCCTTTGCATCGCTGGCTGCCTCAGGAAGAAAAAGGACAGAAAAAAGAAAGAGAAGGATAGAAAGAAAAGCGACTTGGCGCTAATTGCTTTGCTTGGTCCAGTTGCCTGAGCTACACTTGCCTTGGCATGCATGTCTGATCACTGCGGATGTCTTCAGTGGCTGCCACAGGCAAAAAGAAAAAGGACAAAAAGAGTTCGTCGCGCCCCGGCTGTGATTTGAGAGGGTTGACCTGTCTCCAGCAAAACTGCCGGGAGGCTACCATTCAAACATGCCGCTTCCCTTTGTGGTTGAGAGGCTGGTCCCATCCCCTGAACGCAAAGGAAGGGATGCCAGTGAGCATCCAACGCATTCCGCGCGGATAGTAACAAGGGAGCGCATCCCCTGCTTCTGCGCGATCGGAAAAGATGTGGCCCCTCTTAAGCTAGCAATGAATGACCCAAAGCCCACAGACTGGCAACGTGAGAAAGGGCTGTTCTAGAGGTACCCTCCCCATTCTCTTCAGGGATCCTTCTCTTCAAAAAATGGGCCAACCACCTAAAAAATAGGTGGTTTCTAAAGAGAGCGATGGGGAAGAGAATGGGGGATCAAACCTTAGAGCTGTTGATGTTGTTTCGGCTTTTCTTGGCCAAGGTCTTCGTCGTCGCTGCTTGGCTGCAAGGCGACAGCTGACCCACTCCGGGTGTCAGGGTTGGCTTTTGACCACCTCCGGAGTGCTCCATCAGAGGCATGGAGGCTTCAGCACGGCTGGGGTGGTGCGGGGGCACCATCTTGCTGGACATTGCGCCTCCGGGTGATTTGCCCTTGCCCTGCATCTCCTGGCTCAGATTCAGCACCCTCAGGTCGTCGTCATCTTCGTGAGGCCGAGGGGGCACCGTGCACGGGCTCCAAGTGTCCAGACACTCAACGCCTTTGGACGTTTGAACTGACAGGGCGGCATGGAGTGGGGATGGAGGTTTTGAGTGTCTGGAGAGGTTGGGCCCGGTTTTATTTGGGGTCGATTTGTGGGGATGGAGGTTTGGCGGCATTGTCCATTTCCGCCAGTTGCATTCATGCCTGATGCCACGATGCCTCTATGTGGGCGTGCGACAAGCTGAACATTTGTTTGCAATAAGTTTCAAGGCACCCTTGTCCAGAAACAAAACGGCCCTAGTTTCGACGGCACATTCCCATGTCTGAGGGTGTGTCTTTTTCGAGGGTGCTCTTTTGCGTGGTTTTGGAAGGACAAGAGGAAGCCAATCATGTGGAAGGATCCCTCATAAGAAGACATACTCATTTGGCCGTGGGTCAAACCAATGGTACCACTTTGGGGTAGGTGCACCACCCATCTTAGTCTATTTTAGTGGGAATTGGGATGTTCACTGGGGGTACGATTTGGATTTTGACCCATGGCCATTTCCCTGACGGTACACGTCACGTCCGATAGGTCTTCAGGCGGACCGGGCGGGGCTCACCGTCGAAGGCGGCAAAGGAATCCTGAGCCTCCGCCCGAGTCACGCGTTTGGAGTGAGGGAGCACGCTTCCCAAGATGTTGCAAGTGGGCCTTGGGGATCTCAAAAGATTTGCCTAGCTACAGGGTTCTCACGTGGATCCACTTGCAATGTTTAGGGACCCTCGCCTTTCTTGAGGTAAGTTTGAAGCGAGCCGACAAGGCCTGCGAGTTGGCCAAAGGGCTCGAAGTTGCTTGAAAGGCGAGAAAAGTGCCCTAGCCCCCCCCCCCCCCATGTCTTTTCTGACGTAGAACCGGTTACTCGCCCACCCCGAACCTTGTGTGAGGCCTCCCTTCCTTGGGCATGGCAGCGCGTGGGTTTATGGGATGTCTTAGCGAGTTTGCCCCGCTCTGATGTTAGCTGTTTGAACCTGCTGAGTTTACGGTGGCGGCTCATCTGGAAGCCAAACTGATGTGGACGTTTTGGCGGTGATCCTGTTGCCAACTGTCCACCCGTTACTGATCAAACCAAGCATTTATTTCTGTGCATTGCTTTCGGGCACAAAACGCCGCCCATGATGGAGGCCCTTGTTCTTGGGCTCCCATTTCCTTTCTTTCCGGGCGACAAGACAAGCCATGCCCACTGTTCAGGGAGAGCCACTTGCCTCAAGTTGTTCAAAGTCATTTGCGACAAGCGACGTCAAGGGATACTAGGCGCACGTGGGGCAGCTGGCGTCTTGATGCATATCTTTGCAAGTGAGCGGTGTCTCCAGTCACTCAGCATGGCCGACGTCTGCGAGCAAAGGGGTTGAGCGCTTCCCGCTGCTCAGTAGGGAATGATTCAGGGCGTTGGGAATGAACCTAGGGATTCCCTGAAAGGAAGCCATATGGCTGTGGGTCCCAAATAGGTACCCAAAATGGAACCCTGGCAAATGGAAATCCTGATGGTTTAGTTTTCACCCATACCCATATCATATGGGCTGGTTTATAGGGGTCATGTTTTTATTTAGTTAGCAAGTTGATTCTTTTTTCGTTGTCCCGCCCGCCATCAGCTCAAGCCACGGCGCCGGCACCGGCTGCACGCGCGCCATGGCGCCCCGGCAGTTTGATTTGGTCACAAGTTCCCCTACTAAAATGGACTACAGAACAAAGGGTACCCTTATTCTAACCTCTCTACTGGAGGACCTAGATAGAGAATAACTTTTCGAGTCCGGGTCTTGGGAATGAACCGTTTGTGGATTCCCGTCAAGGAAACGATGCTTAGGGCCCATTCCAATTCGAATTTTCATTCCCGGCATCTCTCGCACCAGCAAGTAGAACCATCAACAGCACAGGTCGAGGGCACCAATCGAGGCTTCTCAAAGAGTCCTGTCTCAAAATCTGGCAGCCCATAGGACCGAAGATGGCCGGCTGAGTCTGTCCCAAGGGTTAGCAGCTTTCGAGCAGCGCCATAGTTGCTCCAAGACCAGGCGAAGCATTTGGGACGTTGGGACCATGACTTTAGGGTGTGCTTGTAAAACAAATGGTTGAAATCAAGGGGTTTTCCGAAGTGTTTGTAAAACAGAAATTGTTTGGTATATGTTGGTATTGGGTAAGGGAACTTTCGACCTGCTTTTTCTTGGTTGAAATCAAGGGGTTTTCCGAATTGAGCCTACAAGTTATCTGCAGAGGAGTCTCGCCAGCAACCAATCGTTTCGTAGGCCAAAGGCTTTTCATGTCGCCAAGTCCACGAGGCCTGCCTGGACGACTGAGTGGGCCGAATGTTGAGTTTCTTCATACGGGGTGTCCCTGGGTTGAGTGGGGAATCATCACTATTGCAGGGGAACACCCCCCCCAGTAAGACTGGGGTTGATGAATCCGGGGTCAACATTAGGCTCGCTTGCCAAAGCGGATCTCCGGATCACCGGCCGCGCATCCCCGCAACGCATCCAAGGTGCAATGTACATCGGCCCTTGGCAAGAGTACAAGCCCGCTGCCCCAGAACCCCAAGAGCCCCAGAGCCTGGGTCGGAGCTGTGAAGCGTTTGGGCGATCAAAACTTGGCGGTTCCCAGGCGTTCGGCTTAGGAAATTTTAGGTTGGGTTTGTAGTTGGTTTAGTGGGGGTTTTCCATTTAACCCACACGTCAAACTTTTCAGCAGGGGATCTGAGGACGGCCCAGAAAACACATAAACACATCGTGTGTCTCATGAGAGAAGGTTGTCCGTTCTGCGGGCAGCACGTGGCATAGCACATAATCTTTTAGTGTGCCATGGTGTTGGGTCAAGCCCGAAAGGCCCTGTGCTTGCAAGAAATCGGGGCTTGTTGAAGAGCCAGGCAATCCTGTGGATGTATTGGCGCGGCTGGGTTTGACTCTCAAAATGTCTTCCTTTTGCTTGAGAACACTTGTTGTTTTTTCCTGCTTGTTGGTTCTAAAGGGAATCGGAATCTATCACTGGACATATTTGTAGCTTTGTCCATAGCGAAATCGCAGATCCATCCTCTCAGGCTCGCGCGATTGATCCACCAGCAGCATCAGGTGCTTGTGCGGGCCGAAAGATGGCATTCACTTGGTTGTGAAATCCATTTCGCGCCACGGTTTCGGAAGCCCCGGAAGGATTCGATTTCCCTGTAAAAGAGCGGAACGGACAATGGATCTGCATGGTTTCAAAGTGGCGCGAACGGATTTTGTCCGTCCACAGTATGTCATGGTTGGGCCTGCATCGGAGATTTTCGAATGGATCTCAAGAATTGCTTGCAGGGCACAGAGCCTAGAGGTTGACCAAAGTGAAGTGACCCCCCCCCGTCCATTTTTTTTCCTGGCTCCAGAAGGTGAGGCCCACAACTAAAATGCGTCCAACCTGCAAAAGCCTCGCCTTCGAGTCTTGGCCACATTGACAGCTGCCATGGTTCAAGGCTATGCGAGCCCAAAAGCTTGCCAGACTGAACAGTGCTCAACATGATACATGCTTGGAGCTTGGAGTGAAGGGGCGAAGAACTGATGGCCAAACATCACCCGTGATTTTTGCTTGTTTTTGGGGTTTCTTGCGTTCAAGCAAGCTTGCTTCCGCTATGTTGGCACGCACGAGTTCCTATGACTGAAATCTGGGCCTCAGGCACATCTTGCGACCACAAGCCAAACCAAAGGGGAACGACTCCCTTGGGATGATGCGCGGCCAGTTGGGCCATTTCAGCCCAGCCGTGCTCCTCGTTCTCAGCTGTTTCTTGGGTTCGGCCTTCTCCATCGACACCTCTGCCTGGGTGGGCGCGGAGTACCAGCCTGCGAGGAGTAGCAACCAGGCGGGGTGTCGCGTGTTTCGCGGTTTCAGCGGCCTCCGGGTCTAAGGCTGCTCCTCTTCAGGGAGGCTCTGCGTTTTGACAACATCTGGGGGCTTGTGCGAAAGAAGCCCTGACTCCCTTACTTCAGGCCGAGTTGAAGTTTAGCCGGCTGGAGCTTTTGATTTGCTTTTCTGCGGGGACAGGAGTTGAAGGTCGGACAGTTGGATGTAGACATGGGACATCTCGGATCTGGGCTGGCGTCTGGTTTCAACAGCCTCCACTTGGCCGGTTGTGGAGCCATCTCATTCACAGAGATCCCAACATTTGCCCATAGCAGCTGGAATCCGTATATGTTTTTGGCAATGGTCATGGGTTTTTTGGCTGCTAGCAACGGGAAACAAATAGGTGGCGGAAGTTGGTTCAGGATTGGCTATATCACTGGGATGGCTACAAGGAGGAGGTTGCCAGAGAGATCCCGATGATCAAGCAGGCTCTCTCCTTCACGGCCTTTCGGGTCTTCCTCCACTCGGCCATCTATTTCGCCTCCCCGGAGCGGCTGATGAGCACCATGGATGCTCGCAAAAAAAGGAAGAACAAAACAAAACGATCGACGCGGCCGCCTGTTCACCTTCTTGGTTTCCCGTGGTTGGTCCATTTTTAGTAAAGGTCCCGGGGGGTCCGTCCTGGTTACCATGTTCAATTGCCCGAACGTCAGGTTCCATGTAAAAAAAAAGAGAGTGGGAGAGTAACCGTTCATTCCCCGATCCTTTGGGTAAGTGGGGCTCGATCAATATTCCAGGCCCTTTGAAATGACCATGGGCAACTTTCTCCGTTTGGTGGGACATATCGTTTTTCCCAATAGTCATCCTGTAAAGGACCTTTTTCAACCATGAGTGGGTTTTTTTGTTGATTTCCCTACTTCCCAAGAATTCGCTCCCCTTTTTCATTTTTGGGTTTTTTACCCATTGTGGGGTGACCAGAAGTAGCTCCCTTTTTCACTTTTTGCTTTTTTGGGGTCGTCACATGGCGCGGACTGCCACCGAAATGGGATCGCCGGCTCCTTCCGGACTGCAGCTTGCGGCGCGTGGAAAACTTGTTTTCCGCTTTGGATGACGACTGCTCTCTTGAGGTCCCTTTGTTTTGCACTCACCATACCCAAAAAATACACAAAAAAGAAGAAGAAGCTATTTTTTTTTGCTGGGGTCCTAAGTCCAGCCTACTGGTCGCCCCATGTCTCACGGAGCTTTGGATCAGGATGAGTTCTTGGAGATCTGCCAGCGCAGCGGCATCCGCGTGGGCTTCGTCTTCTTCGACGACTGCTGGAGCCACGAGGGCCTGGATCTGCAGAAGCCATGCCAGCCCACCAAGGCGCCTCGAAGGGAAAGACTCACCCCTGCCCCTGTTGCCGGGGCTGCGGTTGAACTTCCTTGGTCTGCCAAGGACCCCTCAAGAACCCGGATGAAGCCCAGCCTAGCCAAAGGGAAGCCAGGCCTAAAAGGGCCTGCTTTTTTGCAGGGTCCTGGAACAGGTCCACCCCGTTTTGCCATCCGGCACCATCCGGAGCGAAAGGGTTCCGGGACCGAGGGCCTGCACAACCACTGCTGGATGGCGAGCCCTCAAGACGCCGAGCGCCTGAACGGCGTGGACCACTTCAAGCCCTACGTGCAGGAGGTGGTGCGCAGGTTCCAGGGCGACTCCCGGGTTCTTTGGTGGGAAATCTTCAATGAGCCCCATGTCACCGACCCATATCCACAAGGCAGGCCACGGAAACCAGTGTGCAAAGAGTCGAGTGCTCTGGATTCATCTTCTGTTGCCCTCTCGCGTTTTGGGGCGCTTGCCCACACCTTACTGAGGGCTCACATTGTCCTGCAATCTTGCTGCAACCTTGCCTTGCCGAACTCTTTTGTGGTGTTTGCTGACTCAGGCTTCAGCCTAAAAAGGGCCCCCTCAAACGGCAGTGCCAAAAGGTGTCCCTTTGGGCTCCCTGCTTGGGGGTTTTGGTTGCGCCTGCGGGAAGTGCCCAAAACCGCATGGCCCGGAGGCAACTTCTCGGAGGCGCTGCGGGCTGCGGCCTTCGGCTGGGCCAAGGCGCTGAGCGAGAAGCCGGTGATCAGCTGCTGGAACGAGGCGGACGACACCGCCAGGCGACGTGGGCGAAGACGTGCTGGGTCCCAGTGGTGCTCTTTTACCGTTTCTTTTTTGGGGGAGGGGGCCCTACTAAAATAGACTTCAGAAAAACGGGTACCCTTATTCTAACGTCTGTACTGGAGGACCTAGACGTGGGTGAAAGGACCCCGTGTGACCGTGGAATCCCATGGCCCAATGGCCATTGGGGCCTGAAGACTGTGTCTCCGCATGGGCCCGAAACAGCCAAACTGGTGTGACACAAAGGCGTCAAAGCTTCGGCTTCAGGGGTGGCAAGCTAAAGGGTGGTGAATCTGAGGAATGTGTGCAGCCGGTGGCTTTTGGCGTGGTTTCGACCTTTTGGTCCCCAGGTACATGTGGGTATGGGGTTAATTAAACCAGGGTCCTTGTTGCCATTGACCAGGGCAACCCATTTTGATCTTATCCTTTGGACGAACAACCATGTGAGGGCCTGGAAAAGGTAAGAGTGAGACAGCCCCAGCCTCAGGGGCACCAACACCAGCAACGCCTACACCGAGCTGAAGCTTGGAATGCCAGGAAAAAAAAAAACGGACTGTACAAACCCTGCAGCTGGTATGTGGCTTCCCCTGGCATTTATGGGGTTTCCATTCATCCTGGTGCAGGGTATTGTCAACACACAGTACCTTTCGCTTGTTGGACCATGACAAGGGGCAGAGTTTGACCAGGTGATTATTCCATTGTTCTTCCACAGATTCTCCAAAGAGATCCCAACTGCACGATTTCCTGTGGCGGGCAACGGCCGGGCCTGTCCCCTTCCGTCCAAGGAATGATGCACACCAGTACGCCCAGCCGTGGAACGGTATCTCCAATGCGGTGTTTAAGAACGACACGGGCAAAATGAAGGGCGGCCTAGTGACCGAAGCGGGCGCCCGCTGGTATCAGGGCACCAACTCAGACGCGGGCTCTCCGCTCACGCTCATCGACTGGCTGAAGAAGCTGCGGAAGAACCCGGCAGCCAAGTTCGTGCCGGGCGTGATGATCGATTGGGAGGCGAGACGAGCGCTAGCACCAGAACCCCAATCAAAATGTGGGTAGCACGTGGGGTTCACGGCCATTTGTGCAAAAATGGGCCTGCGGCAAGGCCGAGTGTATCGCTTAAACGGTGAGTCTTGAGCCATGAAGCTTCCCTGGTGTTCATTTTGTGCTTCATTTTAGCAACTTAAGGCTTGGTTCGGGCGGTGGCCTGCGTCAGGTCATGGTGAGCAACAGCAACACGCGCTGGCACTGGGGCGGCCAAGCGCAAGATCAGGAGCCTGCCATCCCATGGCACCAGCATCTTGCCACGTAGAAGTCGGCAGGTCCTTCCGGGTGTATCCCGATGTGGTGGCGCCGCCTTTTGTGCTTCCAATGTTGGGGGACTTCCCGCTCGGAGGATGCTTAGAAGGGTGTTGAAAGCGTAGTCAATTTGTTTTGCCCCCTTGTAGTGGGGCACAGCGGCTCCCCTTTGGCGGGGGCTTTGGCGAATGATTGGTGTTTTTTTTTGGACTGCAGCTCTCAGTTGAACACCACAATTGGGGGGCCTTCTTTTGCGAAAAGCTTTTTGTCAGGCGGAACAACCCAGAAACTTGCTACTTCAGTTCGCCAGTGTCAAGACCCACGGCTTGTGAGCCGCCGCCACTGCTCAGGGCCTCCGCCAATAAATCGTTGACTTGTTTTCTGGGTGCTAAGTAGCGCAAGTGGGAGGGATCAGCCTTGATTCCTAGAAAGCGGTTTGGATGCGCTTTTTGCGGACTTCCCCCGTTCTTTTGCTTGGTCCTTGCTTAGTAATTTGTTCGTACTTTCAAGATAGAATTATCCTAGGGTGCATCCACGCAAGCTACATCCACACCTTGTTCCTATAGGTGCTAAGTTCCTATAGGCGTTAGGGCCCCCCCAAAGATAAGACCCCTGGAAACGGTCCGCAAAAGGAACCCTACTAGCTTCCGATAGACCCTATTCCCCTGATATCAGGGGCCCTTGACAACCATACTGTGGATGAACAAAATCCTGCACCACCCAACAAAGCTTGGGATGATTATTACCCTGTAAATACCAACAAACAACTGTTTCCCAGTGTTTCAAAGTGGTGCAGGAATCAGTCCATCCGCAGTAGGATAAGTAGCCCAAGTGGGATGGAGCAGCTGTTATTTTGCCGGCCTTCGACTGGCGCTGACCGGTCGGGAGCCACACCTCGCTCTGCCTGAGGCACCTCTTCCCGGACGGCAGCCCTGTGAGTTACACAGAGGCGGCGGCCATCCGAAGATACATCACGGGCAAGGAGCCCAGAAGAGGGCCAACCCGGTTGAAACATGTACTAGGTCCCCCAGTAGTGCCCTTCTCTCCCCTTTTTTGGGGGAGGGTTCCCCTGCTAAAATAGACCACAGAAAAAAAAGGTACCCTTATTCTAACCTCTCTACTGGGGGACATGGAAATCCACAGAGCATCTGAGAACATGATAATTTAGACAGGGTGTCCTCCATCTCTTTTTGGGGAACTTCCAAAAGTGGCATTTGTTTCAATGGAAGCCACTACTCCATGTTCAACTATTGCAGGGGAAATCCAGTGACCCCTGTTGAACAACTCTTGCTTTGGAGTTCCTAAGCAAATTCTGCCCGACTCTGTCAGGGCCCCGAAGTAGAATCCCGGACCCACCGTTTAGGTACCGAGTTCCCTAGTAGTTTGCTACAGCGTTGACGGGTTTTATTGGTTGAAAAGCGCCGGGCCGTACACGGCCCAATAATTTTGCAAAACTGAGATCCCCGCTAGGCAACCTTTGTGGCAAGCCAATTGGTGGGAACAAAACTCCGAGGATTTTCAAAAGTACATTGCAGGGACCAGGTCAGTTTGGGCTCCAACGGTCCATCCATCAAAAGCCACCACATCTCAACACAACATCCAGGCCAATTGCGGAGTTCCCTTGTGCCCTACTTACAACAACCATGTGTGGGCGAAAAAGCCAAGTAAAGCAAACACAGCGCGCTGCTTTTCCTTTGTAGGACGAGTTCCTGTATTTCAACGATTTCCTGAACGACGTCCCGAACCCGGGCAGCGCGGAGCGCTTCCTTCGCCTAGACGCGCCCTTCCGCCCCGAGCTCACGCTGAAGGACGGGCTCGTAGAGATGGCGCTGTGGCCGGACACGGCGGCCACGGCGGCTTGGTATGGGGTCAAGTTCTTCTTGACTGCTGTTGGGCAACGGGTCTTTAGACTTTAACTTTTTGGTTGAAAACAAGGGGTTTTCCACTAAGCCCCAAAAAGTGAAACTTTTTGCAGGGGGGTCAACAGCAACCAAGTCTTGGGTTCCTCTTTTTCGGGTTGCCCTGTTCCCATCTGTTCTTCCTTTCTTTTTTGTTTTGGGACATGCGGGGCAGACTTACGAAAGACACAGGAGAGGATTAAGTGGCCATCGCAAAAATAAATGTAGAACAGGCTTGGCGCAAGCCGTTCGCCATTCTCGAACTCCTGCTCCTGAATCCTCGTTCCCAGGTTGCCTTTGGTGCTTTCCTTTTGGCCCCCTTGGCGTTTTGAAGATGCATTGGTGCTCCCTCAAACTGAGCAACTGGTGCCAGCCGTTAAAGTGAACTGGCAGGCAGCACTTAGAACTCGGAGGGTGGCCTGCTGAAGGACTTGGAAGCAATTAGCAAACGCAAATCGGCACTCCAGTCCCTACAATCTCTGGATGGGCGAAATCCGTTCGCACCACTTTGTTTGTTGGCATGTAATTACTGGGGAATCGAATCCTTCCAGGGTCGCTTAAGTGGTGTAGGATTTTCGTCCGCCCACAGTATGTCACGTACAGGGTGCCTTTGCAGGTCCTCGCGCTTTAACAATGCTGGCCATGGGCGGGCCGTGGCACAAGACCTGCTAACCTGTTTAACTGTCCATCTGTGTGGATTTTGTGGGTGCTGTAGGGCGTTGTGTGCGTGTTTGTGTGTGTGTGTGTGTTCTTTTGTTTGTTTGTTTGTTTGTTTGTTTGTTTGTTTGTTTGTTTGTTTGTTTGTTTGTTTGGCTGGCTGGCTGGTTGGTTGGTTGGTTGGTTGGTGGGTCGGTTGGTTTGTTTGTTTGTTTGTTTGTTGTGTTTTTTGGTTTGTTTGTGGGTTTGCTTTTTTGCTTCTTTGTTCGTGTGCTTGTGGGTGGCAGGTGTCTGTGTGTGTGTGTGTGCGTGTTTTGCATTTTGGTGGTGCGCGCATCGCGTTTTCCCATGGCAAGCCAAATGGTTCGGGGTTGCATGACTTCTCCCCAGAAAGTGCCTTGGTTGGAAAATGCCTTGGTTTTGGGCCGCATTTGAAAGAACCTGGCTAGAACACCCTTTTGGCTGCACCACCCTCCTGTGGGTTTGTACGTGGTGTGTCCACATAAGGACCGACAGGTGTTGGAATTCACTTGGCTCTAAGATTGCTCCCAGGTTCGCCTCAAGCTCCGCCACTCCGCGGAAGACAGCTATGAGATCGCCTTAGATGCGGACAAGCTCCCTGCCTTTAAGTTTGGCCACTTGTTCCCCGGGAAAGCCTGAGACATGAACGTTATTGGGGAGGTGTCAACCATGAACGTCCTTTTTTAAGGAATTCAGTTTGTCGCTCAAAGAACCCAAGTGAATCAGAAGAGGATCCCTTAGCTCACAAGCTGTTAGTGAAAACGGAATTGCCTTGGGCCCCTGGCCCAAGGGTGGCCATGATTCAATCTCCGCGACACTGCCGACAGGAAGACTCTGAGCCTCTCCCGTGGTGGGAAAGTCCGCGCCAGCTTCAATGTCTCCAGCCTGGACTGTGGCCTGCTCTCAGGGGGCATGAAGGAGTTGAAAGGCAGATGGCTGAAAGGAGGGTAGGCGTGCTTGGCGTGGTTTTGGCCTGGCTTGGCTGTAAAAAAGGGTTTCCCTTGGCCATTGTGTTGGGAGGCTTATACATTTCCAGCTTGGGATGGGATCGCCAAAGCAAGCTTGGTCAAGGGGTAGCTGGCCATCCGACATTGTTAGACACATGTGCCTCATGCAAGTCACATGCTCGTCTTCCAATCAAACACGAGCAGCCTCTCCGATTCGAAGGCGATGCCTGTCCCTAGGGCGTGGTTTTGCGCAGACTTGTCCAGTTTGCATCCTCTGCAGGCGCCTGGAATCTGCTGCGGGCTCTGGTGGACGGAAACCGCGTGCAGGCGACCATGCCGAAGCTTTAGGTTACACATCGAGCATCAGTTCACAATGTGTACATGTTCTGGCCATGGTCGTCCCACACAACCTGCTACAGGGTATAGGTTGGGCAATCCACTGTAGCCACGCAGACCGCAGGTGACGCAGGTGGCTTGCCAAAACTGCCGCAGGTCTGGCTGAACCCCATGTATCCCGACGTTTTCCCGGAGACGCTGCCCGTGCCATCGGGGCCGCGTGTGCCAATCCGAGCCATGCCGCCGAGGATCGACTTTGAAGATCCGGAGCCGCTGAAGGAGGGGAACGCAGAATCGGGCAGAGGGGCCGAGGGGGGATGATCAGGCAGTTGCGATCGCTTTGTTCCATGCACTTGACCCCCAAGAATACCAGCAACAGTGACTGAAAAATGCAGCTTGGCTATCTAGGAAGGAGCGCCGTTTTGGTTTTGGCTTTTTTTGGCGATCTGTGGCTGTCTTTCGGTGCTGGGCTGATGAAATGAGCCTTGACCGGAATTTCAGGGGTATGGAGCGCAGGTCACTTGAGAAGATGTTTCAAGAATGATGCGAATCAAGGGATGATCATGTTGAGGTCCTTCCAACTGATATGAAGTGCTGCCCCCTCATCGCCCATTCCCCGAACACAGACCACGCGTAGAACAGCCCTTCAGCCGGCCGCGCGTTGCAAATGGCCAGTTCAAAACTCACAGGCGACTCGCGACTGCCTATGACTGCCTAGCTGGGTTTAGCCTCGAGACCCAACACGCCTGCAGGAGGGAGGCCTGGAGGTGACCGCGGAGGGTGGGGGCTTTCTGGACTACTTCTCAGTGCTGCCGCCAGTGCTCTATGGCTCCGACTGGCCGGGCCGGGGAGTCCTCTACAGCTGAGGCAGCCAGATGGGCCATGCACGGTTGTTGTTGGGAAACATTTTGTACATTTTTGCGTATGGTGGTTTAGTGGGAAACCTCAACTTGGCTGCTAAAGTTTTAATTTTTGCTCCCCTTTCAACTTCAACCAAGCATGACGACCGCGCCAAGCGGCGGCGGCGCGTTTATCATGCGCACCTGAGAGGGAAGTGTGGGGCATGGCTTACCCTGTGATGCCTGCTCAGGCGTTTTCGCCACCTGCGTTGGGGTGATGTAAATCAATCAGCGTTAAGGCCGAGCCAAGTCCAATCTCTTGAAGGGATCAATAGAGCCATGAAGCGAAAGTGCAGGCCCCTTTGAAAGTCCTGCAGCATCCTGCACCCGGATGATTTGGTAGAGTGGGCACGCCTGCTTTTTGGGCACGTGACGATTGATGGGTACTGCCTGAGCGCTTGCCTTGTGGACACGTGTCATACCATACGTGCACGCAGTGATCGGAATGCAAAAAAGCAAGCGAGCCAGAAGACATTGAGCATCCACTAGGCGTGGTTGAATGAAGCTTTAATAGGATGAGACTAGGAAGTCTGGTGTTGGAATTTCCCTCCATGACTTGATCAACTGGTTAAGGTGTAACAGTTTCGATTTCGACGGTGCAGGCGCGCGGAGCATCAAAACACGCCATTGACACACAAGATCCTATCATGCTCATCAGGCCGATTTCTCATTTGGTTCGCCTGAAGCGCCATGGACACGAGTTGCTCTTCGTTGCGAAAAAACATGGAGTCCTTCTTGATAGGAAGTTGTTGTGGTGTTTTCTTCCTTCGGTAACCCAACAGCTCAGATGGGAACAACACCCCTAAACCCAGCAGGTCGGCTTTTGGATCCCACTCCTTTATACTCTGGATGGACAAAATCCTGCACTACCTAAGAAACCCTGGAAGGATTCGATTCCCCTATAAATACCAACAAACATTCTGGTTCCCATGGTTTCCAAGTGGTGCGAAAGGATTTCGCAACCATCCGCAGTAGG